TTCCTGCTCAGAGTAAATTAAGTCCTAAATTCCATGATTATCTCAGTAACACTTTGGAATTATCCATAGATGAAACAACTTAGCTTGACTGAGATCTGGGAGCACTCCTGAGATAGGAGGCAAACAGCTCTCTGAAGAACTCAAACATGGATGATGCAGGGGTCAGGGGAATGTTTAGGAAGTTGAAGGGAGGTACCAGGGAAAATTATGGAAGCAGAACCTGAATAATGTCAGAGAAGACTTACCAGCTTGTGACTTGATTATGTGCAGTAGCAGTGGAAAACTACACTAATGAATTAAATATTTCCAAATTATTTGGCCTGACTTACAAAACTGAAATGCAATTCAACTTTCGACTATGATCTGGAAGTAGCATGCTTCCATTTTTGCTATTGAGAAATGCCTATTTGACATTTTTGTCTTGGCTCTTGCTTAGCCATGTCTTACTCCCATATGTTGAAATGTAAAACAAAGCTTTAAGTAAAACAGTGCTTACTGTCTTCTGCTTTAGCTTCTTCCTTACTTGCCCATATGGAGGCTCTCTATTAAGATGCTAAAGGAACTAATTTTAGGCAGTAGTGTATAAGTATTTCAACTCATTGTTTTTCTGGTATCTGGAGTCTTGCATAAAAACATGGTTCACTGTTTTTTGAAAGTTACTTGCATGCCTACTAGCTTCTACTTCAGATTGTAGATTAGAAGACCCACGCAGACACTTAAAGGTGATCTAAGTGCAAGGCAGCAACCCTGAAACCTGTTCTGTAGCAAATGATTGAGTACAGGTGGGTATGGGGTCTGTTTTGTAGCTGAGGGGTATGAGGAAGTGGCCTGGCAATGGAGCAGTTCAAACTGATTGTAGTGGAGGAGGTAACATAGTTTGAGGGGTGGTTGCATCAAGGCCCTCCTTTCAGAAGGACTAGGGAGTAGGAAATAAGTCTGTCGTGCATTGAAAGACTTCTTTAAACATAGGTCAAGGGTTGATTTCTTTTTGTAATGATCTTACTAAATTGCTGTGGTGTTTAGCTAAAACCCAGGCTGTTTTGTTTTTGCGTGTTCTAGTACTAAAAGCTTTTCAGCATCAGTTCATAAATAGTCCTGCTATGAGAACAAGAGGTTTTGATTAAGTGCTGTCCTTTGCTCTGAAGTCAAACATGTATTCATGTTCTCAGGGGCTTGGATTACTTCTCACTTCCTAGCCATAAAATTTTACAAAATAATTTTGCCTTGTCACAGTGTATCTAGAATCTTTGAAGGTATTCTAGTTAGTTTAAAGCTAGTAAACAGCAGTACAGTAGTCTCCCAGTAAGATTGTGGAGGACAGATTTGTCTTTTGCTATAGGTGGCAAGTAAAGGGCAACAGTGAGTGTATAGCTTCTGCAATGCTTTTCTAGCCTATTTTAGGATTTCTGCAGGGGAAGAGGAAAGGAAGTACTTAATCTTTGCCTTACCCAGATACCAAATGTTACCTAACTGAAGGCATGCTTTTAATTTAAGTCAGGTTGATACTGCTTGATAAGACTCAGCCAGAATGTGTAAGTTGCAAACTCAACTACTAGTCTGAGTGTTGGTAGTCTCTTAATTATTGGCCAAGTGCTGGTTAATAGACTAGAAATGGGGTGTCAATTGGTCTGTAATCAGTTGAGGTAGGAGGAAAAATCTAGGTAAGAACACAAGGATCCATGCTGTGAAAGGCCTAAGTCAACTGATGCTCTGAAATTGTGTAATTGCTGTTAATTGCAAATCACTTATGGATCAGTACTCTTAATAGCACTGTAAAAATACAGTATGAACTAAGATGGAATGAAGGTCTTTAGTATAAGCCTTTTCAATATCATTTAATGGAACTGGAGTTGAGGGTAAAACGGGAAAAGGAGTGCTTTTTCAACCACTTAATCCACTTCTAAGAGTGTAAGGCATCACTTCAGAAGACAGACATATTCCAGAGGAGATATGGATACCTGTCTACCAGCCATAGTTGGCAAAAGGTAATGAAGTATTACAAGCTTCAGACTCTTGGTCTTAATTGTTTTTAAACATCTATTTCCTGTATGCTAGTGGGAGTTTGCTGTGGAAGAGGTAAAAATTTAGTATACTTAAATATGTGAAAATGCGCAAGTTAATACTTAACCTTGATATTAGTATGTGAATCTATACCTAATAAGGCCTACACAACTTGAGTTGTTTTATAAGCAATGTTCTAATATTGTGTTTGAGTTTGCAGATGGAAGCTTATCTTCAGGATTTAATGCACAATAATAGCACTGTAATTCTGAATCTTTAATAAGCAGCTGTAATAAAGTCCTTGACCTTCTCAAGGTGGCTGCGTTCCAAGTTTTAAGGTTAATAAAATAATTTATACTATGAAACTCCCTTATTCATGTGGAAGACCACACATTGTGTTTCTGCATATAGAATTTGGAAATAAGTCTATCTAGATTGTCTTAGGTCTACCAATCTGCAAACATTATTATTTTGGAAGTTCAGCATGTTTATCTGAGCATATTCCATTACTAGGATTTCTAGGAAAATACAGTGAACCTATTGGAGCTACAACTGAATAGGTTTGCTATCTGGGCTCACTGTTGTGCACCATCCCCTAACCCACCCAAAGAAAAGATTGTGAGGGAGAAAACCTGCCAAAGAAGTAGAGAACGATTTCCTGAACTAGAAAAACCAATAGGAGGTGGTTTTGTAGAGGGCAGCTTAGAGAGCAAAGTTCCTGGCTTCAGGTGCTGTATTTGGTAGGATTAATAGAAATGCTTTATTATCTTTTAATTAAGATCTTAAGGAACAACCTTATTTCTCTGAATCTACTTGATTTAGACCATTCATATAAGAATTGAAAGAAATGAAGCCACCTTTGAAAGAAGGTGTCATCTTCCTCTAAAGATAAAAATGAGAAGGAGATGAGGAAAACAAAATGTACAGGTATCAGAATATTACCTTCAGTTCACTAAACTTACTGTGAAGTTACTTAAATTCTTCCTGTTTAAAACAAAATCAAGCTTTTCATACTTGGACTGTATTCGTGGACTAAACTCTGTTTTTTAAGCAGTTTGCTTATTTTAATCTAGCCCTTAAAGTGTGAAAAATCTCATTGTACAAACCCAGCTTAACTGCTGATATGGTTGATCTACAAAATCTTCACGTACACCTGGTAAACTTAGTTTAGTGTTTTATATGCCGCCTTATCTTAGCCAAGAAATTCTGTTCTTATTTGTATGTCAGGCAGTTACTGTGCAAAAGCTTACAAAAAGCCTTCTATTGCTCATTTTAGAAACAATAGCGGTATCTGATTTAATTATAGTGGTCCTTAAAAAATTTTTACCTGTACTTATCTATGCTTATGACTTGCTGGCTAAATAACAACAGCTGTTACACTTTTTTTTGTTTCAAATACTTGAATAGGGTATGCACTACAAAAGAAGGTTGTAGGGCAAATTATTTGCCTATTACAGCTAAAGGGGTATGGAAGCTCTCTAGAACCTTTTCCAGAAGAGAGGCATTTGTCTGGGAGTTCCAATGTGTTTGTAGTAATCTCATATTGCTTTAATCACTTGTGGATAGATAGTGTTTTAAAATAACAGTATTTAAGTAGCACTTGTCTAGATTTTCTTGAAATTCGAGCATTTTTCCTACTACCTTAGTATTTACAAGCATCTTTTTTTTTTTCTAGTCCATTCTCAAGCCTTCACGTAACTTCAAAGTTAAGTTTCTAGGTGTCTTAAACCTTTGAGTCAAAATACTTTGAAGTTGATGATTTCTGTAACTTTAACCTTGAAAATTGCTTTGAAATACTCAATACTGTTGAGTAACTGAGAGGACTTGCAGGCAGAAGCAAGAAAAAAGTAGACCTGGTATTTGGGCTTGGTTACTTGAGTTTTACATCACTCCCTCCAAGTGACTTGGTTATTGAGTGTTTCTGAGTAGCATTACAGAAAGGAGTTCTCTCAGGAAAGGTGAGATGTTCTGTGTAAGCTGTGCACAGATTGCCTCCTTTTGGAAGGTGAGCACATGGGTGCGGTGGCCAAGGGGAACAAACTCTCATTTCCCTTAATTAAATCCAAATGCACGTATACAGTTAAGATTTTCCATATTATGTAGCAAGTACAGGTTGTGCATTCTGCTAAATGCTGTGTTCATTTAATATAACATCTCATTCATGCTCTTAATGACACTTTTTCACTTATGGGTAGACTTCTGTATTGTACTATAGCATGTGATGTACTTCAGTGTAATTTTTAGCTTGGTGTATCCACCAGATGAAGAGGTGGTTCTCCTCTTAGATGATCAACTTTTTAAATGCTTGACATAAACCCTGTTTAACAGAGTAAACATTTTGTTAGCACTTTCCTCAAATATTTCTAAAAAGTTACTGTTTCAAGTGTGTTTGAGCTCTGAGATGGTCCAAGATCATTAGTCCTTTATTGGAACTTAGACAAGTCTTTACTTCTTGTATCAACTGCAAGCACTTACAGTTAAATTGTAATAAATCTTTACTTCTAGATTGTGTGGGGAGTATTCTTCATCATTGTGGCACTGCTCTTCACTGTCTCTCTATTCTTGTCAAAGTAAGTACATTTCAGCATTTTTCTTAACCACTTAAACCACATAGTTTCTGCTCTAACATCAAAATTAGGGGCGGCCTGCTTCTTTTCTATGCTACATTTCTGTAACTAGAGCTGCATTTCCCATTATAATAGTATATATTGAAACTGAGCAAAATCATAGAACCATTTGGTTGGAAGAGACCTTTACCACTGAGTCCAACCATATCTGTCCATTACTAAACCATGTCTCTAAGTACCTTGTCTACCTGTCTTTTAAATTTTAAAATGTGCTGAAACAGATTAAAAAAAGAACATGGTTCATGCTGATTAACTGTATGCTCCTGAAAACAGTTCCAATTCAGCAGCGAAATTAAGCATACATGCTAAGTGTAATTCAGACTACAAAGTATTCTGATTTCTTGAATGAATCTTAATGCATGTAGGTACTTCTTGGGCTGGGTAACAGGTGCTTAAATTCTTGGAGTAAATTACATGTATAATACATTATGATGTGCATTACATTGTATTTGTTTCATGGCATTGAAAGCAATATAGCCAGCTGCAAATCTGGTGGATTTCAATGAAAATTGACACTAACTAGAGGTCTAAAGTGTTGACATTTTCAGTTTTTCAGATTGGGCAAATAAGCTCTGTGACCCAAACTACAGAAAAGCTAAAATGCCAAGGAGATGTAGAAATCAATATACTTTTTCACAGGACCAGTGTAATGAGTGTGGTATAACAAGGCATGTGTCTTTACAGATATGAAAAAGCTGTCAGTCTCTAGGCCTAGCCCAGCTTTTTTTGAGCTGCCCTTTTACATTAAACTGAAGACAAAGCTCTGGGAGAACCATAGTACTTACCCAGTTTTTCTTAATTACTGCAGTTTGGACAAAGCTCTACATTCAGCTGGCTTCGACTCGGGATTTATAATTTTAGGAACTAATCTGACTAATCCACTGAATATGCTATTACCTGTTCTTCAAACAGTAAGTAAAAAATTTGACATACATATGTAAGGATGCCTCTCTCTGTTTTCTGGTAAGCTGTCAAAAGGCAAACTACATTTCTCCCTAAGTAATTCATTAAAACAAAGCTGTCTAGATGTGTGTTCTGTAAAAGCAAGGCAACTTCCTTGTTAACAATCTGTTAGTTATTTATATACTGATATGAAAATCTTGGGTGGTTGGAAGTCAGTTGTTGGAGGAAGGTGTGTTTGAAACTAACTTTGATCTGATGAGAACATAGTGGCAATGAAGAATGACATCACTTGTTGTCATGCACAGAATAAAAGCAACTTTATCCCATGCCCCTACATTCTAGTTGTTTGTGTACTTGATAGTTTATCCCCCTTAAGTGAAGTAAATGCACTTTTTCACTTTTTAATGTATTTATTGCACCTTGAAAGATATATTATGCTCTGTGCAGTTGTGTGTTATAATAATGCATTAGTCTTTGAAACAAATGCTACAGAAGAACAAAGATCTGTAACTTCAGTAGTGTTGGAAGGCAACAAGGCCACATATGAATTTGGCAGTCAGTCATGGGTAAACTGAAAAAAAGAAAAGCCTTAAAGTAAGCTAGTGCTTTACTCTCCCCTACTTGATTTCTTTCCATACTCTTGGTATAATAGGGTGGCACAATGCATTGCTTCCCCATGGTTTCTAAAACTGTTGAACACCTAAGCTTGCGGTTTACTGAGAAAAGCAGTTTTCAGCAGCAGTATTATCTGAAGCTGTTATTAGTGTAAAAATAAAAATCAAGTTTTGTATGTAAATATGTTCAGAAATATTCACAAATGGAATGCCTATACAGTCCGAAAATGATTGTTGCTGATGCTTCTTTTAAGTGTAATCTCAGAATGGAATTAAGTATTTCTTGGCCTAAAAATGTATAATACTTCAAAATTAAGGCAAGTTTTAAATTAAGAAAAATGCTCAATTGCTTTCCCAAACTAATTGTATAACCTCTATTAGCAGCAAGCTGTATCAGCTGTATTTGGAACCAGTGATGTAAAACTTCTAAATGGAAGGACTCTTACTACCTCAGATGCTATAAGTAGAAACTAGTTATTTAGTTTTAAGTGGGGAAAGAACTTGTTTCCTAGTTTGCACGTTTTCTTGTCTTTTTAACTGCTTTTGTTCTTGTTTTAGGTTTTTCCACTTGATTATATTCTTATTACAACTATTGTTATGTACTTTATCTTCACTTCAATGGCAGGGATTCGAAATATGGGTATATGGTTCTTCTGGATAAGGGTAAATATGACTTAAGAGTTTCTAGTTTATAACGGTAAGATCTTGAACATATATGTGATGATGAATATATTTAATAAATAGTCATTATTTATGTACTGCTTCATAAACATTGGATGTTGCAAATAACATTGGCTGTATGTCTAATGAGTGTTGGAAGCCTATTGTACAATTTTCACTGCTTTTGAAAGGTATTTGCTAAGTTATCAGACCAAAACTGATGGTTTAGTTTGATAAGCAATATAGTCAGCTGACTTTCAAGTGTTTAATCGGTGGCACTTTTGCTTCTGACTTTTACCAAGTTAAAGCCGTATGATTCTGATATACTGGAAGTATTAGTGAATTTTATGGTCAAATGTGTGTGCAGTCAGTAGTGTTTGAGATTTTAGGTGGCAAGCAAGCTTACCTAGCTTGATAAGACATGAAACAGTACAGTGATGATATGGTATATCTAAATACGCTGCAAATAACATATTACTGTGCTTGAAAAAGCAGGTTTGTATCCAATAGTATACCATTCATGCCTGTGATGCTTGGTTAAATATTTCCCTGCTTCTGTGCCTACTTTCCCTTTAATACTGTCACCCTTTCATGTTGTGACACCCCAAAATTGTGACTAGTGACCCTGAGTTCTTGCAGTGAGCTGTGAGATTGGCTGTTGGTTTTGGTCTTCAATCATTTATTCCTCAGCTGCCAGCTTCTTTAGCCTAATATGGTACTCAGGTTGAGCCTTTGGGGACTGCAAAATAGTGTGGTATCTACAGAGTAACAATGAGGGATTATATTGTTCCCTGCAGTGTAAAGTGGAAAAGATGTCTCCATATGGTGTGCAAGTTTTCTCAAAGCCTGGGAATACTACTCTCTCATAACTCCTTCCTCTGTTTCTAGATCTGATTAGAGGTGTATTGATAGATGACATCTCACCTTGACTGAAGAGCACAATTTTCTTTGACAAACAAAGGCACAGTTTATTATCATTTATGGGCAGCATCATTTAAATCACTTATTTAAATGTTCTGGGTCATTAATAGAAACAACAATTAATTTGGTTAAATAGCTGTGCTTTGAAACTCAGGTAAATACACCTGAAAACCTGCTTTGACTCACTGGAATTAAGTTGCCAGATGATAGTTTTAGTAGCCTCCCACTCAGTAGAATTAAAGCTGTTAATTTAATTAAACAGGATTTAAAATGTCTTCAGGGAAAAAAAAATCATTGTGTTAATATTTTTGTTTTCTGTTTTTAGCTTTATAAAATCAGACGAGGAAAAACTCGACCTCAAGCACTTTTGTTTCTCTGTATGATACTTCTGTTGATAGTTCTTCATACAAGCTACATGATCTACAGTCTTGCCCCTCAGTATGTAATGTATGGAAGCCAAAAATACCTGGTACAGGTGAGATGTAACTTTTTTTAAAAGGATCTTGCCTTCTATATCAAGAATGTAGTGTTTACAGTGATTTTTCAAGCCAGGCCCATTCTCAGTTTTGTAACTCTTTTGTAACCAGGTCTTTCTTAACTACTAGTAGGTCTCTTCATAATACACAAATCAGAAACTGATTGTACTATATATAACTTAATTCCTAGATTATCTTCAGACAGTATAAAACTTTGAATATTGACTACTTCTGATAAGACAGCTGCTAGCTTCCACTAAATTTTTGTACTGGTACATTTAGGTTGCTGAGCAACTGCAGGGAGGATTAGTTTTAGTGTGTAAGGCTGTCTATAGACTGAAAGCAATGTTGGTTTTCTGCAGTTGATAGTTTTTATGTGCATATTTGTGAGACATGACACACCTAACCTGGTACAGGAGAGGAGGATAATCAGAAAGAAGCTGAGTATGTGCTGATTAATCACATTTCAGACACTTTGGACTGTCCAACTTCATGAATGTCATTGCAGTTCTTGTTCTATGAAATCTTCTACAGAATTAAGTAGTTAACATTAGTCTCTACTCTTGTTACTGCAATTCTGTGTACTTCAAGGTTTGGGGTTTTTTAAGGTCTTTCATCTTCTGTACCTGAAGGCTTTAATTCTTGCATTTCAACTTGGTTTCAGTGGAGGTCTGTATGTGTATGGGGAAGTTCAAAGTTATGCACCATAAGGATCTTGAGGGGTTTCATGGACAGCTGTTTATCAAGATCTGGTATACTACAGGGGTAGGCTTTGTTAGATGCAATCTTGCAAATGTCAACAACCAACCAGGTCATGAACTGGTTACTTATGTTCAGGCACAACAAAGTCCAGATCTCTTGGTGTGCTGTTTGAGGCTTAAGTACAATTTAACAAAGACAAAACAATTGAGCCGGAGTGATTGGGAGAAGGGATTTAAATGAGACTGAAGTAAATGTGTGCTGCTTTGAGCATTTGGAATACTTCTGTTTGTTTTCCAGAAGGCTATGCCTCTGAGAGCGGAATATACTTTAAAAGAACAAATCACCCACAAACCTTCAGCTGAGAAGTTGAAGTGATGTTAAACATGCTATAGAAGAGGAATCTGGTCAACTTAAATGTGCTGAGTGGATGTGGTAGAATTGCCACTGCAGGAAGTGAAGCATTCAATAAATGTTCCTTTTCCACTGTCTTTACATCTAAATTATGCCTTGTAATGGGAGGTTGGTCATCCCAATATCAACCCAAGCACAATAATAGAATCACTGTAGGGGACTTGAATATTTGGTATTTATGAAGGTTAATGCATTTTTACTGGACTATATGCTAGTGTCCTGGTTTTAGTTGGGATAGACTTAATTTTCTTCCTAGTAGCTGCCATAGTGCTGTGGTTTGGATTTAGGATGAGAAGAATGTTGATAACTCACTGATGTTTTAGTTGTTGCTGAGCAGTGCTTATACCAGTCAAGTACTTTTCAGCCTTCCATGCTCTGCCAGGTGCCCAAGAAGCTGGGAGGGGACACAGCTAGGACAGCTGACCCCAACTGGCCAGGGGGCTATTCCAGACCATGTGACATCATGCTCAGTATAGAAACTGCAGGGAGTTGGCTGGGGGCATTGGCCAGGGGTAGTGATCACTGCTTGAGGATGGGCTGGGCACTGGTCAGTGGGTGGTGAGCAATTGCATTGTGCATCACTTGTTCTGTATATTCTTTTATCATTGTCGTTATTTTCTCTTCCTCTGCTGTCCTATTAAACTGTCTTTATCTCAACCCATGGGTTTTACTCTTTTCTGATTCTGTTCCCCATCCCACCAGGGAGGGAGGGTGAACAAGCAGCTGTGTGGTGCTGACTGGCATTAACAACAGCAGCTAGGTATAACTAATACAGGCTTAGGTATCTTTATATTGACTCAAGCTGTCAGAATTAGGGTAGTAGCAGCAAGAAACTAAGCTAAAAATCAGTTTAGAAATGTGGTTTGCTTTGTGGTTTGCAAGAGAATGGAGCACAGTGGTAGGGAAGCTCTTGTGTCATTCAAACGGCTGTTGAAATGCAATCCTGGTCAGCACTGCAAGAAGGATTAGCTGTAATGGTTGAGTAGAGCTAAAACTCGTCATTTAAAGGAGCAAAAAAGTTAGCCATCCTGGGTCTTTAGCTTCTTATGTCCTATTTCAAAGCACTGAGTTTAAAGTACATAAAGTAACTTGGGTAGAAACTCTTTTTATTGTTAAAATAACATGACACAAAGAGTATGCTGGTAAATTATACATGCACTTCTCTGGCATACCAAGTAAATACAAGGTTTTCAGAAAACACCCTCTCAAAGATATCTTTCAGAACATACAAGACCTATTTTCTGTGCCTGACTACCCTGATAACTGGATTTTAAGTTTTTGTATTTTGAAATGAGGGGGGATGGTGGCTGGGAATGAAGAGGAGCAACAAATTTTTATGTGTGTGTTAGCAATGAGGAGGTTCTTAAGAGTGACAAATTGGTTATTATGGAACTGAGGAGTGACCAAGAACATACACAGGAACTGGGCAAGCGAAATACATTTTGTGCATATAGTAAGCTTTCTGATGGAAGGTGTAAGCACCAGTTTGCTTGGACAGTCTAGATTTTCATTGCTCACACCACAGTCAATTTCATCATTTAAAGTAACTCCACTGGTAACCAACACTATACAGAATCAAGCAATAAATAAGCAATATTCCAAGTCAGTTTAGTGGATGAGTGGGCTGATAAGCATATTTATCAGAATCTCGTGCCTCACAGAAAGGCAGTGTGTAAAAGGAGCACTTCCCCCTTTTCTTTGCTCTACAGTAATTCCCAATCTAATAAGCTGTCAAACTAATGTGTAACCAAAATCTATAGGGATGCATTAGATGACATAGTTTGAATCTTGAACTGTTGCCTTTGGAGACAGTTAGTCATGACAAGACCTTTTAACTTTGAAATGCTGTTGACTTTTCCTGATAATTGAATATGTGTAGAAAAATTAAGCTCTTGTGAGGAAATTAATATTAGCTACACTCGGGCTACTTGCCTTATTTAACTCCTTGACCATTGATATACCCAAGGCATGTGTCCCCAACTAATCAAAAGTGTCTTTAGGTATGATGTTGGTAGGAAACTTGAAAGTTTCTTTTGGATTTGGTGCCCTTACCAACTGAGGCCCTGTGTAGGGCTTTGGTCAACTTGCATAGTTCTTGACTGGGGAACGCTTAGTTTCATCTCTTGAGACAACCTTTGTAACATCTGCTAAACAGCCATGAGTCTCTTTATAGCCTTTCCAAAGGTGAAGAGTTCTGTCTGCATCCAGGCCTTCTCAGCTTTGCAGCAAAAATGTAACTTTGCTCATACCTGAAGTGTAATTGCTATTTTTGTTCAACAAGGCCAGGCTTTCTTCCATTTGTCTGAAAGACTGACCACTGCTTGCTGATGTTTCTACCTAGTGGACCTGTAAGACTTGACTGTCCCAGACAGGAATTAAAAGGCGAGCATTTGCCATAGGTGAAGCTGATACTTTCCCTGGTTGAAGGCCAGAGCAGCAGCAGTCACTTTCCTTCTTCAGCCTTCACACAGATAATTCGGAGGAGTGGAGCTAAGCTGCAGGACACTATCATCAGAAGAAATTGAGAAGTATCCCTTAAAAGGCCAAGTGTACAAACAGATCTTTTTAACTTCTTCATCCTGAACATAAGCAGGAACAAATTATGTATTAGGCTGTAACCTAACCCTTTCCTTAAGTGTCTAAAATGTGTCAGCTCTTGAAGCACACATACTGAGTTACTGTACTTGGTTTTGTCCCCTGCTTGTCCTTGAGGCATCCTGCTTTCAGCTTTGGATTGGCTGCGCTAACTGGAACACTAGTTTTACTTTGACAATATTGAAAATGTCTGAGACTTGAGTGCTTTACTGCATAATGCAAGTAAATGATTTCAAGGAATTGTTCTGTAGACACATCTTTGCTGTCACTTATGCATCTTTTCCATGTCCAGTCACATTCTCTGTGCCCTGAGGCACAAAAGGGGCTCTATGCTAATACAAAAGTGCTGAGATGACAGCATTAAGGGCAAAGCTCTCATACCTTTTCTGGGAATTCAGCACAACTTTGGTGCCTATGAAGTACCCAAATCCTAATGCACACAACAGGTGAAACAAAGGAAGAATTAGAAGTTTGCATGCAGTTGCAGGTCTACAGTCTCACTGGGATCAGAGATGTGGAAAAATAGCTCACACGACTGGAGTGCTGCTATGGCTAGGTGAGAGCTCTAAGAGGGACAAGCTGGGGTGGCCAGTAGCGAGAGTTGACCTTTATGTGAGAGTGCAGTAGGAATGCGTGGAGTTTTGCCTTGGGCTGGATAAACCAGCGAAGTGTTTATGGATTAGGATTAGAGGGCAGATCAGCCTGGGTGATATTGTCTGCTACAGGAGGAAGTAGCAGATGATCCCTCAAGGCACCTGTAAGTAGCTTCATGTTCACAGCCCCTAGTCCTCACAGAAGGCTTGACTCTCCCAAGTATCTGTGGAAAAGCAACACGGTTGAGCACAAGCAATCCAGGAGGCTTCTGGAATGCACTGATGACAATTTCCTGACACAAGCAATTGAGGAGCTGAAATAAGGAGATGCTGTCTTAGGCCTGATGAAGAAATGACCAAGGGCAATCTTGGCTGCAGTGAGTGCGAGATAGTGAAAGTTCAGGATCCAAAGAAGAGACCAGGGCAAAGAGTAAGATCATAACCCTGCACTCAGGAGAGCAGATTTTGGCCTGTTTAGGGACCTTCTTGGAAGAGTTCTAGCATGTAGAAACCAATTCTGTTCTGGCAAAGCTGTGGATTTTTTCTTTGCTCTGATTTTTTTCACTGGATGAAGCGATACTGAACTCTTGCTGAGTCGGACCAAAATATTGTTAGTTTTTAGTTAATCCTTTAATATAAGTATTAACTTCAACTTAATTTTTTCTGTGTGTTAGCTTTGCATAAGAGTACTTTTGCTTTGTTTAATATTTGTGTGGTTTTCTTTGTGTATTACTACTCTATGTATAAGAATCTTAAATTTGAATGTTAGAAATTCTAGCTGTGTAAAAAAGAAAATGGTGTTCAGCTGATAGAGTTAATGAGATTACCATTCCTCTTAGCATGGCAAGTGTGATTCTTAATTCTTATTAGGAAGGGTTAATACTCTGAAATGTTTTACTTTATATTTCTATTTTGGAATACATGCTTCATTTTATTGTGTCTGTTTTGTGAAAAGGTAGAAAACTTTCAGTGGACCCTTAGAAGGCTTTTTCCTTGTGCAGGAGAGAAGAAAGGATTGTTGTAGAAAGCATTTAGAGCTGAATCCAGATATGTCAGAAATCTTAAATTACAGGAGTGTTCATGGGGAACAAGACTGATACCAGACCTGGAAAAAAGCATAGATGTTACTAATGGAAATCCACAGGTCTAGCTACTGTTGCATGTTGTATTTTAAATTCCTACTGTTTTAAATTCATAAATGAATGAAGATAAATTGACAAAACTTTGAAATGGCAAGATTCTGATTGTTCTGTGCTTTTTGTACATGCCTGTGTAATTGTACTATGTATAATGCTGTTCTTTTGAAAGAAGCACTCTCTATGCCTGAGCAGCATAAGCTGTAGTGGTGACAGGCAGCTGGAATACCTCCTGGAGCTGGACCACTGCTAAATGTACACTGAATAATTATAACTTCATGTCTTCTGCTCTCATTCAATTGCTTCTATCTACACATTATCCTCTTAATTTTAATTCCACTTTAGTTCCCAATTCCTGTGCCCAATCATACTCCTTTATTGGATCAGTTTCTTCAAAGGCAGTAGTGGCCTCTACACTTCCATGTGTTTGCATGAAAATAACTGTTCATACAAACTGCTGCTTTTTAAGATGGACACTTCATTGTTTTTCTTGAATGTTCAGAGTGAAAGCTGAATTTACTTACTATTGATAAATTTTGTCACTTAAGTTGTTAGAGAAACACTTAGTTTTATGTGCGAGCTTGTGCTAATTTCTGATTGGTTTTAAGGGGCATGTTTTCTTCAGCCTGAAGGACAAAAAGGGGCTGACCCTTACTGATTTCTTATATCATCAGGGTGAAATTAAGTACAGTAGATATAAGACCCTTTGAAGTGAGTTAGTCTATGAAGAAATCAATGTAGTACAACTGATTTATAATCTATTTATAATGCAGAGTAATAAGACAATTGATGGCCAGCCAAGCAATGTGACAACATTTGTATCTAAAGACTGTGATGCAGATGCACCTGAAGGTAAGACAAATTAATTTCTTGTATTTCCTATGCTATATGTGCATCCTCAGCTGTAATAATAAGAAGCTCGATCTCTTCATGGCTTTGATTTGCTTTGGTCTAATATGAAGCTTTGATGTATAGCTGTGTCCAGAAAACAGCTTGCTTATGGCTTAATACATTTGAAGAAATTACTATTTTTTATAGAAGCCATGTGTAACAATGCATTCCTGTTAACTTTAAAATCTCCCATTTGCTTTAAGATGTATGTAGAAGACCTTAAAAATAAACCCTAGCTTGTTAATAGTTTTTAGTATCTGAAGCATCACTTCAGTGTGTATGTTTGTCATAAAAACCTGCAGAGAAATATTTTATTAAATTTCACAATGTTCTCAGTAAAATTAAGATCTGAAATTCTGAATGCAACTTTACAGATAAGAGAATTCTGCATTTTTTTTATTAAGATGTAAATAGGGGCTGTTCCATGAGCAACAATAACAGTGGAACTTCACATCTTAGGCTATTTTCCTGTAATCCTCCTACTCTTATTTTGTCATTCTATATAACATCCAGTATAACTCCTGTTCATCTGTGTTATTAACCATACATTTTTGACCAGTTATTTGGGCAGATGATGTATTGTGGATATCCTGGAGCTGTGAGTAGTGACTAGTAAGCAGATCGATAATTGTGGAGCTTTCTTTGACTTCCCATCTATGCAGGCCTTACTGTTGATTCTTTTTTTTCTAAAGAGAGAGAGAATAGTAATGTGTTATTTATTCTTTATTTCTCTATGAAACTTGGCTAAATCTGGGAATGCGCTTTAGCCTGGTTTCATTTTAAAAAAACAAGCTAATTTAAGTAATGCTGGATTTGTTTTTTTACAATGCTGCTTTTCCCCTTCCTTTCCCTCTGCATGTAAACAATTTTTGCAGTTTGAATTGCCTAGCCATTGCAATAGTGATACTGCTGCTTAATGTCACCACCAGTTTTATTGATTGCTTTCATCTCGTTTAAAAAATTGATCTCAGAAAAAGATTTATGGGCTTTGGAATGGTCCAGACTTTTTCATGCTGATGCTCTCAACTGTTCTCACTATGGCAAACTTTCAGCTCCTCTGTATAAAGAAGAGTTAAATTATGTATGCTTTTATATAATTATAAAAAGGCTTGACAGTGTTAATTGACAGAAATAGTTGTCCTGTTTTCTCATCTTATTATCAGTATTCAGTAACTACTGAATTCTGACTGTGCTTCTGGAAGATCTATCTTAGCAGCGCCTTGGGTTTTCTTCCTACATGTGTTATTGAGAAAGATAATATTTAATTTTAAATTATTTCTGTACTAGTGGAGATAACTGGACTGTCAGTTCTTTGTTTCCAATCTATCAGACTGTGGTCTGTTTTGCAAGGTGGTTCCCTTGTGTTTAAATGCAGGTTCAAATTTAGTATGTAGGTATTAGTCTTATTCATGGTGGTTCATATAATTTCCCAAGGGGGGTGGATTGTTCTCCTGTCTCCCCCATACTTCAAAAATCCTTTATTCACCTTTATTTTTGATGGCTATTTTTAGACAGTGCAGTTTTAAGTGTTTTGATATTTTGACAAATGTAATTGTTCAATTAATATTTAAGCTGCCATATTTTTGTGATTTAAAAATAAAAACTCTTCTGTGGCAGAGTTTAGAAGAGCAAAATCTGCCATCTTTCAAAATGAGATCACTTTGAGCAGGTTGTACAGATCTCTTTCTTGTAAACAGCTTCTCAGCTTGGCTAGTATTTGCTGGGAGAAGAATATACTCACTGGCATCGATTAGCTCATTAGTCTTGACTTTTCTGGGAGAAATTCAAATAGTCTGGTTTCCTCAGACTTTGTTGCTTAATTGTAGGAACTGGGATTGGACTGAAACTTCCTAAATTCCGCCTATGCTTGATGATATTTTTTGAGCACTTTGAATACTTCGTGTGATTTTATTTTTTTCTTAATAACTATATTGTTTCTGTTGATCAAAGCTTGATGCTTAAAACTAGTGTTCTGATGTGCTGAACGCAAGACTTGGCCTGTAAAAATGATGGGTTTGGTTTGCCATCATTAATGTGTTGTTGCACTGGGTATTGTTGAGTCATGTTCTCCTTTTCTTAATATGCTTTGATCAACAGAAACAATATAGTTGATGCTTAAAACTAGTGTTCTGATGTGCTGAACGCAAGACTTGGCCTGTAAAAATGATGGGTTTGGTTTGCCATCATTAATGTGTTGTTGCACTGGGTATTGTTGAGTCATGTTCTCCTTTCTTAATAGGAAAGAGATGGAGAAAGTATTGATATGCTGTCTTATGCTAGCCTACTGTAAGTAGAAGATGGATGGATATTTCTTAAATGTGAACATTAATGTGATCAAAAAGCTATAGTGGAGTTCTATTAACTACAGATACAGTCAAGCCATTAAGTGTTGTTATAAGTGAAAGAAAAGTTTGTCTTGTAATGCTTAACTTTAAAAAAAAAAAAATTGCATTAGTGAAAATGCTTTATTCACTCTTTTATCCAGTCAATTTCAGAAAGTGGAAATGTAATGCTTGCCTTGAAATAACTGCCATTTTTAATACCTGATAATGAAAACTAATGAAAATAACTGTTGTAGATGCTACTCTTATGCTCTGTGATCAGATAGAATATGTTGACAAGTGAAACTTATTTTGAAGGTAGGAACTAGATTATTAAATACAGTTTCTCTTGTTTTTAAGGATACTAGACACAGCAAAAATAGATACAACTAACTCGAAGTTAAGACAAAGATTGCCCAAGCACTTGTAGTTTTTATTGACTTCTCTGGTACTAGAGCTTTATCTTATGTAAACCACTGAACTAGAACTAAATGCAAATATTGATTTGTCTTCTCAGCACTTATTTATTTTGTTTCATTTAAACTGAATTAATTCTAAGAGGTGTTTTTCCTTAAACATAAACCAAATTATGACCTCGTAATGGCTGTGCTGATAAATAAGCTTATAACAATCTGCTCTGTTTTATTGAATACTTGGATGTTGCAGATATGATTTCTACTTGCTGTAGCTAAGTAGATTTTTTTCTTTCTGAGATGGTAGAAGAGACCTGATCTTGTTGTAACAACTAATACTCTCAAACTTCAATATTGTTAAAACTTCAGGCTTTAATGAGCAGTGGTTTTGATATGTGTTTCAAACCAGTGTTTGGCTTGATGAAAAGGCACTTTCTGAAGAAACATAAGGCAGTTAAAATCTAATCTTATAAAAACTACAGTCTTAAGTTTTAATGGTTAAATATGTAATTTGTCTGCTTTCACGCAACAAGTCTTCTCTCTGTATACTCCTGGTATGCAGGAGGTGAATCTGCTTTATACTGGATGCCAGAGGCCATAATAGCATATAACTACACGAAACAGAACAGAAGCCAAAAAGTTATAGAGCAGGCTACATCTTATAACTCAAAGTGTCTTTTCTTAGTTACATCTAAACATCTTGCACAAACAACTCGTGTTCTGTTTAACACAGATATTTTTAAAGCTTTTTAAATAGTATTTTGGAGCAGCAAATTTTAAATATTTGTTACAGGCAAAACAAGTATTCGTTTCCGATGTTCAATACACTTGGGCAAAGACCTCATTTGATCACTGTTTTCAAGGACTCTTGGGCCCAGAGTTCAGTTGAGCATAAGGTCAAGCAAACGGGTTCAATTATGTGATTAAGACTAATGCATTGAAAACTTGATATAGGTTTAGCTAAACAGGTTAATGAGTTTTAATGTAAATGAGCAATGACTCAGCTGCAAGCCTGTATGCAAGACTTTTCCCAACCTTAATTATGAGGTCTGCTAAACACTATCTGCTCTTTCTAGACCAGAAAACCATGGAAGTTGTTCTTAAGCATCATTCATGTTAAATGAAGAATATACGATGAATCCCCCTTGACTTGGATCTTCGTTTCCTTAATTTGGGAAATGAGCCTTACCCAGGACCTGCTAAATGCTGGGTACAGTGTCTGCCAGGGGTCTTAGAATCATAGAATCATTTAGGTTGGAAAAGACCTTTAAGATCATAAAGTCCAACCATTAACCTAACACTGCCATTCCACTGCTAAAGCATGGCCCTGAGCACCTCATTTACCTGTCTTTTAAATACCTCCAGGGATGGGGACTCAACCAGTTCCCTGGGTAGCCCACTCCAATGCTTGAATAGGTCCTGCATAGACCTGCACTGACTCCAGCTGCATGTAAGGTTGGGGGAAGGTTATCTCTATTTCTAAGGCTTTGAACTGAGAATTACTTACTGTGCTAATTAGATCTGTGCCTCCTTATAGGACTCTCTTGTCAGCTGGAAATGAACAAGTGCAAGACGTCTGGCTTTATTTTAGCCTGAATAAAGTCTAGATGTAGACATTACTCAAGCTGGAAAGGAACCCCAAATTCCTAACACCATTGAAGTTCTCTATAATCATGAGAACTCAATATAAATAAACACAATGGTGCACATTTGACTGCGGAAAGCTGTGTTTGGCAGCTGTAAATAGGATGAGAAGCTAAGAGTGCCTTAAATCTTTCTGCAATACATTGTTCATGGATGTTCAGTTGTAGAAACATCAATTCCTATGCTTTTTTCTGCACCCCACCACTGTGGACAGAGAGGAGCTGCTCTGAACTACCCCTCTTTTCTCTCCAGTTACTGTCTCTCAGAGGGAGAAGAGGCTGCATTTACTAAATAACCCAAAATGTTAAATGAAGTTTAGCAGTAAAGCAATTGCATATTCTTGTCTTGGATCAACATGCTAGTTTTATTGCCAGTTGGATTTAAGCCCAGCAGTAAAGTGATATGCTCTGACATTATCAGTACTTCAGAATAAGAATTTAAGCTCTTTACAAAGGATTGAGGGGTATGCACCCATTCTTAAAAGGCAGTGATGAACCCCTTTGAGTAAGAAACCTACCAATGCTTTGTCTACAAAATGCCTTTTAATAAAGGCAGTTCTCTTAGCAAAGGAAGGTATCATATT